GAGCCGAACAACTGTGTTGGGCATATATTTAATGTGTAACAAAGGACTTTGTGCGCCGGCCCATGAGGCAGAAAGAGTCAAAAGAAAGAGGACCAGGTACCTCCAATCAGGCACACATGCCAAATACTTGGCGAACCGACCTAACATTAAGAATGTGTCTGAATTCGTGGAAAAGCAAGTAAGGAAATATGAAATTCAGTTGCACACAAACCGATGACTACAATACCCACTACGCTTCCAGGCCCATAGGATACGGTCGGTTAGTTGAATAAAGAGTAAGTCGTCTAATAGATCACGTGTGACGCCTGTGAAGAAGCTTTCTATGGTCGAACGGGAAAATCCGACTCTACATGCATTCACAAACGCCATTTGGCAGTAAGAAGGCGGGACGACGTAGACAGCTAACAAGCCAGAAAGGACCAGTCTAGTCTCTCTTGTCTTTGTCCGTACTGCTATTCTGCACAACGGATCCAATGAGTTCCCTAAGAACGATCGGTGAACGCCCGCCTTCCACTGTATATTCTCGATCGAAACCAACAGGACAACGAGCCCGTGGCCCAGTGTTTAGAGGCGTCGGACTTCTAACTAACAGATCGCGAGTTCGAGCCTCAGGTGTTCCACACTTCAGAATTGGGTATGACTGGTTGACGACGGCTAATCAGCCAGTAATGGCCATTCCAGTCTCCCTTGTCTTTGTCGGTAATAACATTCTACCTACATATGTATGTATATATATATAATGGTAGGGGGCGCTCACCGATCGTTCATACGGAACTCACTCGTTCCGTTGTGCCTTAAGGGCTCTCTCTCCAGAATGGTATTACCGACAAAGACAAGGGAGACTGGAATGGCCATTTCTGGCTTATTAGCCGTCGTCAGCCAGCCATACCCAAGTGAGTGAGTTCCGTATGAACGATCGGTGAGCGCCCCCTAACATTGTATATTCCCGATCGAAAACCGACAGGGCAACGGGCTCGTGGCCCGGTGGGTAGAGGCGTGGACTTCTAAACCAACAGGTCGCGAGTTCGAGGCTCGGGTGTTCCACACTTTGGGCTTGGGTATGGCTGGCTGACGACGGCTAATAAGCCAGAAATGGCCATTCCAGTCTCCCTTGTCTTTGTCGGTAATAACATTCTGCATGTATATATATATATATATGTACTGGAAGGCGGGCATCCCAAGAGATAAAATATGAAGATTGCAGGTTCGAGGTCCAGACATTGTATCGCGTCCATCATCTCCCGAAAAAGACGAAGAAGAAGAGAGGGCGAATTCATGGGCCATATTGTATTCGATATGACGTTTCGGAAACTTCTTCGTTTCCATCATCAGAGTAGCGTACTTGTTGCTCCTGCCGGTCTCGATTTGTTCAGTCTTACCGCTTGCCTCGTATTATAGCCGTGCTCGACGCACGAACTTTGACCTGCCTGTTTGCCGCTGCCTGGTTTAGACCTCCCCGGGGCTGACCGCTGACAGGCCTGCGTGATCTTTGTTCCCTTTGGGGTCATCGTAATTGTAGTCAAATCAACGCACCGGTTGGCCTCTCCCACGTCAGCCGGTGGACTGATCGGTCGTTGCTGTTCTGGCCCCCAACTCCGCTCTTTTCTGTGAGCGTTGACTCTCGGCCACGCGTGCTCGTTTGCCTTATTGGTCCTGTCCGGACTGATCCGAGCCTTGTACGCAGCGCCTGGTAGGGAGGGGGGGGCAAACTTAGTTGGCACAGGGATTCTTGATGAACTTTTATAATTGCCATTTATCAAGTGCCAAAATCCAGACTTTGTTCAGGGAATATCCGCCAGATGGAAGAGGCAAAATATTTTTTTCCAAAATGACAAAACGGGAAACTGCAGGGAGAGGAGGAGGAATAAAATCAACGCCCTTCTAACTGCCATGAATGACTTAAACTTCACGCTATGTCATTAAAATAAGATGGTGAGAGATTCATAACAATGAGTAGAGAGCGTGAGGAAACCCCGGGAAGAATGACAACAGATCATAACGGCTAACCGCTAAACGTCGACCTTACAGTTGAATGCAGGTAGGACGCTCATTTTTACCTTTGCTTTTGTTGCATGAACGACGCGAGTAACCACTAAGGTGGCCGCGTGGGCTTCCTCGCCTGATCCCACACTCTTTCCTTCGAGCAGGTTACTTCGACGCCAAATTTCTCCAAAATCCCCCGAGGTGCAGGTCAGTGTCTTCCACCGCCAACTCCGCAAAGATCTCCTTCACTCTCTCTTATTCCCCCGTCTCACCAAACGCATCAGCAACCACGGAGCCCTTGGATGCCTTCAACGTCCATATTTCCTGTGAACGATAAGGCGGTATCTATGCCGTCACCTGTTGGGTTGGGGAAGCCCCAGGCAGGGCAGGATGCTTTCAGCGCTTTTCGCACCCCCTCCAACTTTGTGGCGACAAGTACAAGCGCGTATTCCGACTTCGGCATGTTTGCTCCGACCAACAACAGACTTTCGACGATGGATGCTTGGCAAAATGGTAAGGGACAGGATGATACCTACTTTGGATGCAGTTAGTACAAGTCGATTAACTTGTGCACTAAGAAGACTTTGACGTGAGATTAAATCAAAACAAATGCCCTGCTAACAGTCTGTAGTCTCCTAGCTAATTTTACTAACTGTAGCCGGCGTAGGCAATCCACCACTACTTCTGTGTGCTAAGAAGTTCCAACACACATTGCTTATGGGACACTGTAATAATGAAAAAACAAGGACTCTGATTATTTCTTCAGACTGACAGAATGAAACCACCCAAGTTGGCTCTAGATGAGAATTTAAACTTAAATCAGAAGGTCCATATCAGAATGGATCACCTAAAGTTGATCGCATTCAATGTTAAAGTATCCTGATTGCGAACAATGTGACCTGTGACCCAAGTGGTAAGGTGTCTAAACCGCTGTCTAGTGATCTAGGAATCCAGATTCAGCGTCCCGAGTCTCTCCGAAAAGAGTCTTTGGTATGGTTGTCCAGCACCGACAAAATAGGGTAGCTTTGCACATTTGAGGTTCCTCAGTGTTTTCGCGTCATAATTTTGCAAACTCGGTTAATAAGGTTTGCAGTTTTACACTGGGAAAGGAGGGTGTTCAAAAAGTATGCTGCTTAGTAGTTGAATATAGGATGAGATGGGAATTGTGTCGTGTCGAAAGATGAGACTGGACTGGTCTGAGACCCTGCTGACGTGGGTGCGTCTAACGTAAAAAACGCAATCGCAGAACTGCCTGATAACCGAGATCTGTCATTGAACACGGATAAAATAAGACTCGCAACAGATGACGCGATAGGTCTAAATACAAAAATACAAAAATACAAAAATTCACTTGGAGTCACAGTGAACAAGAGGAAGCATGCATACATGGATGGAAGGCCAGCTTAGGAGCTGAGGAGTGAATAAGGAACGTTGATGTGTACGATAGTAATTCGCCTTGATTCGCCCCAAAACAGGCTACCCTGAAGATACGCTGGGTCGACACGGGGGCTAGATCGGAGTCCGACCGGCGCTATTGGTAATGTGCATCCAAAAACAGATGCCAACGTTGGGGGTGCGCCGGCATGCCCAGGTGCAAGCGCGCGCCGCGCCAAATGGGATCCTAACCGCCTACCCTTTTCGTTGCTTTATAAAATCCTGGTCGGAGCACGTTGGGAATCATAGGGTTGTGGTGGTACGCCTAGGTGCGGGTTTACGCCGCGTCACTCACCTGCGTTCTCTCCCGCCTCTGGTCTTCTTGATTCTGTCTTGACACCGAGCCCAGAGGTGAGGAGAGAGTGCGATAAACGTTGCGCAAGTCTGCTATTACTATGGACTAATGCACGCGCAAGTCGACGTTCCTGCTGTCACCCTGCTGTGGAGCACACGGTGGAAATAGTCGACACAGGCGATAAAAATGTCGGTTGTCTAGTTTTGTTTGTCACTGCGTTCAAGCCCATCACCAGCTATCTGACAGGTTCGGACCATACACCGATGCGTGGGAGAGGGATATGAGAGTGAAGCCGACTCTGGGGAATCCATCCTCGCGTCACGTGGTTGTCGATCTGCACTGAGTCCGCACGAGTCCATATCTGCCGTCCTATACGGCAGGTGTGATGGCACACCTTAGCAGTTGACCTTCACGCTGCGTCAGACAATGCGTCAAATCCAATCAATATTTATGATAAGAGGCTCGATGCATGCGAGAGAGGAGAGAGATTGAGGTTGACAATGAGGACTTCTTCACACTCACGGCATATCATCACACTGTTCACCATAACAAAACCTGACGCTTTTGAATCTATCACGACACGCTAAGGGTCGCGTCTTGAAAGTCGACAACTGAAAGCACAAGTCAGTCCTTCTCAGGACTGCGCGTCGGACCTCAATGCACCCTTCTGAATGCAGCGTTTATTGCGCTCTCGCCGACGTGAAGCCTGACTCGCCTTTACCGAAGCCGATGCATGCAGTGGGGCCCAGGTCGTGTATGGCACGCGTAGACGGGCTGTTTAGTCGTGTCAGTCGTTGCATCCATACCCAGCCCCCAAGTCGTCTCAACATTGTCATGACATTAAAGCAAAAAAAGAGCGATTGTGGCAGGGACTGCGCAAGCCACTGCTTTGCGTCCACGGTTTACTTCGTTTTTTCGTTTTTACTTCGTTTTTGACGGTTTTTCTATCGGCCGTTCACCCACGATTATCTCCCTCCTTTGCTAAATTATGAAGGAACTGCTCCTTCTGCTACATCTAGGAAATCATACCTGGTTTGTGTATTCCAAGAGATTTCTAATTCATCGATTGTTTACTTAGCACCCTATCATATCCGCAAGGTAGAATGGCAAATGCATTGAAATTCATCGATCGCAACTCACTTTTACTTCCTCTTAAATGTCTTAAGGTACTGTGCTGCGACCGACGCCAATGAAATCTGAAACAGAGTGCAATATTTTCAAAAATCACCAATTGAGGCTCGGTAACGACTCAAGGACTTTCCAGCAAGAGTTTATTAAAAACTACGACATGACGATGATGGAGTCGGGAAACCTGACGTCTTCCAGCCCCGGTATAATGAACCAACCACTGCGCACCGACGAATGTCTTCGCCGTAGACAGTTCGAGGCATCTAGCGTGTTTGAGAACGCTAATCCCTTTCTACCAACTGCTCTTGTCACAACCAAAGAATCCGGCTTGAACATCATGTATCCCACTGCAGTCGCCTCGAGTAAGGCCAGTGGATGGGACAATTGTGATAATCAGCGAGCAACTGGTCTTAATACGCCTGTAGCGTCTGGTTTGATCAGATCTCCAATCGGAAAGTTTAATTTTGCTGTTGACGACTTAATAGTTGATGACGAGAACCAATTTCACTTCAAGACCGGTGCCAACTTTCCTTAGCGAGTTGAACGAATCATAGACGACAAATGTGATTTCAAGTATTAATCTTACGGGACAAATTGACCCACCTTAATCGCCACAGTCCCCCCGCATTTAAAGGCATTTGTTTTAGTTTTTTGGGCTTCCAGATGCCGCCGACATCGTTTCCTGTCATCAGGCCTACATAAGAAGGAAGCCAAATCATGCAGTATTTCGCGTTGGTTGCCGACTCCGGAGGAAGGATAAAATTTCGACCTCAATCAAAATCTCCCGGAAGTTTAGCTGTATATGATTTGTTACTTATCCAATTCAATCCTATTACCTCCATTGCCTGCCAAAACTCTCCCCCACTCCTTATTTCGCGAGACGTCACGAGACCAATCAAGCAAATGCAGTGCAACCCTAGAGATTGGACGAGGTCTCTGAATGAGATTCACTTCAGCCTGTTCCCTCACCACATTCATCAAATTCCCCTGCCTTACACGTAAACCAGACGGTCAGGCTGTTTTCTAACCATGTGCGTCGGACTCTCTCTCTCTCTCTCTATCGTCTGACATGAAGTGATACCATTCTCTTCGACGCTGGTTGGATGAAGGTTTTTAGAGGGGCAGATTCACGATTTCACCCAAATAGCACACCTTACCATCATCCCTTTTAAGGTGCTGCCTGATGCAGCTAGGAGAGTTGTAGAATGTTTATCTCCTTTTAACATTGCATGCCGGTATTACATCTCCACTTAGGCTGCGGTTCATGTAATTCTCGATTTAAATTAACTTTTTCCCCAAAATGTCTGACGCCAGCGGGCCTACCTGTCCCTGATTTTCTCTGGTCCTCCTTAACTCCCCTGTTGGAAATTCCGATGAAATAAATTACAAAAAAGTTGTTGACTCAAATGAACTTCTTTCGTCATAAAAATTCCTAAATGCCGTCGGTAAGAATCAGATGTGTAGGATCACATAGATCCTAAGGATAGGGTTGGCTATCTCGATAAAAAGGAAGTCGTCTAGGAGATCCCATACGATGCCTGTGATGCCGTATATTGTGGCCAAACAGGAAAATTTGCCACTACACGCATCCGCGAACATCAACTGGCAGTTAAGAGGCGATACCACTTGTCTCGAATGGCTATGCACACTCTTGATACTGGGCACACTTTCGCATGGGACAAAACCCGCATCATCGGAGTTTGCACATCTAAAAAAGACCGAGAGTTTCTTGAAGCCATGCACTCCGATGAGTCATGCATCAACAGGCATATCGAGTTAGACGCCACGTACAAAAATCTCAAGGAAAAGTGAAAGATGCACATTGAGGCGGTCTGAGTTGGCAGACTATCCTTGCCTTCTCCGAGTAAAATAGGGTTAGTAGAGAATGATATGCGAACCCTTGCTGCTGAGAAGGTTCCCGAGACAGCTTGGTCAAGGCGTCTTCTTAGGAGTTCACTTGCAGCCGGACTGACGCACACGACGGCCGCTTACTGGCTGAAGCACCAAATGAGTATTGATTTTGTAGCATGTTTGAAAGGTTAATTGTTTTCTGCACATTTACTCGAGTTTGACGACGACACGGGGAACCGACGTCGAAAATTTACTCAAGAGAGTTTTCTCCTTTTCTCCAAGAACGTATTTGCTTTCAAATACTCATTGTTATATAGTTGGCTGCTTATGCTATTTAGGTAGGCATGCAATCCTTAGTTAGAATCCGACCAGTCAAACCTGCGCAGAAACCAAACAGAGGATGGCCCAAGCTTAAACGGACGAGCAGGACCACACCTTGACAACGGAGTTGGCGGATTCACAAGTTATCAGTAGTATGTGGATTTAACTGCCATCCTAGGGTGCAGCACCAATTGCCGCCGCTCCTTTCAGCGTTGCGTCTTTGCAAGTTCGGAATCGCCTAGATAAAGTTGACTGCTCACTTCTTATTAGCCCGGTGTGCGCAGTTTGCTGACAGGACGGGGTGGCCATCAAGGGCCAGGAATGTATTAAAACTCTCTGCCTGATCGACCATCCAGTGAACGGTGCCAACGCCGCCGATGGTGGCAAGATCAAAGTGAGTACGAGTAGTTGCCGACATGTGTGGAATGGTAATTCATGGTGGTCTTTCATTGGCCGGCCAGAGCAGCTGCCAACTTCATTGACACGTATCCCTGCACTTCCAGTAGTCAGTACATGGTCGCTGCATTGATGAAATATGTTTGCTGGGCCATGCGCTGCATATACTTGCAGTTTTCAGGTAATTTCCGACATGACTCACAGAAGGTAATGATATCTACCACCAATGATATGGGATGGGGTACTGTTGCCATTTAAATGTCCGCTTAGTGCTGTCTTGAAGACAGTTTTTCCTTTCAAAATAACCACAGAATAGCCACATTCGGAAAAACCTCCCAGAATCTGACAAGGACTCGTGACCGAAGGGGCCGTCGTTAAGCACAGTGATTCAAATATTAGCTAGTTTATCAAATTAGACGGTTTCGCGGTCACTGGAACAATCCAGTAAATTTCCCAACCCGAGAAGCGTGCTTGCATTTGATTAGTCTTCACCCAATGAGAGCGAGATGTAGGATTTTGACTTGGCCCACTCGTACTTGTAACTCTCGTCATCTACCTACTCGTCTGATCGTTTTTCATCTTAAGGGTGCAGAGTTATCTAATGTGATCAAATTTCAAGGTGCGATCGCAGGCCTTCCAGCTCGCTCTGGGGTTCCGGGTGAAAGCCCTTGCAGGCGGTCACATAGAGACGAGCGGCAGGCAATCGAGGAGGGTTTTCCGACACGCTTGGGATACTTGCACTTCTGACGAGGACACATAAGTCACTAGTATCCAAAGCAGTCCCTAATGTTCTTTCCAGTGAACCTCAAAAGTTTCCCCGGCACTTCATCACCTAGGCAATCAGACGTTGGGAGGGGCTTCATGGGTAAATGCAGTGCGTGACGTTACAGTCGTCACGGTATTGCACCCTGCTCGGATGACTGTCGAACGCTGTCGCCTGCCGCAGACAAATTACATCACCTGTGCTCGCGAATCGATTATCGCATTTGGGAAGCATGCGCAAAGTTTTCCCGTCTTTTACTGCCTTTATTTTTATGGAAAGAAACCACATCGCGGTTTCATCTCCTGGATCAACATCAAGCAGAATATTTATGAAAATTCCCCAATATGAAGCTAAATGCTGTATTTTTTTTATCATATGATATTTCATGAATACGTATATTTCCAATTCAAAAAATGAACAGCATTCTCATAAACTCTTATGGCCGCCAAATACTGGTGCATGTACTTGCTAAAAAACTATTATACACTTATCATCCCGTTGACAAGACTACTTCTAGTATTCCTAAAGCAGTCGGGTACTGCTGGAAGGACTAAAATCTTTAATTAAATCATAGATATCCTCAGAAGGAAAATACAATCGCCGTAAATCTCTTTTTAAACAATTGTTGTCTATACGCTCCTAGAAAACATTATCATAAAATATCTGAGTGACTCAAATTAATTCACTAAGACCTTTAAATAGCCCCTTCTCGACAAATCCTTCTCTCATCTGCCTCTTTGAATTCTTTGTTGACTTCAAATAGCAAACTGGCTTGTTCCTTTAAACACTCGAGTTGGCGACAAAGATGTTAAAAATGAGCGATTTCACGAGATGGGCATTACCTACTGCAGTTAACTGGTTCCAGTTTATGCCAGAAAGCCTATTTTAGATGACTGACGCAGACCAAAGCATTTTGCTGCCGAATCGACGAGAACAACGCCCAATGAGGATATTTAAAGCGGTTTTCATAGGTCTCCTCCTCCTCCTCCTCCTCCTCCTCCTCCTACTCCTACTCACACTCCTCTCTTCTTCTTCTTCTTCTTCTTTTTCTGGCTATCAGATAACACCCACCCCCTGCTGACCATTTTTACATGACGGAGGAACTCTCTCATTTGACATTTGCGATCAGACGTCGGCTTTTTAAAAATGCACTCCCTCGGAATAATTTTGTCGAAAAAGGAAAAGGAGGAGGAGGAGAGAGTTGGCATTTGGAAAAGTCCGTGGGTATTTTTTGTCCTATAAGGGCAACAGAAAAGCATTTTCCATGCGGAAAAACACAAATCATAAAACAGTTATCACGAGGAACCTGAGGAAGAAGCAGCTATTTTGAGGTAATCTCAAACGTCCATTAAGTGCTGCTGTCGTTTGCGCATTGCGTCATCGCCTGCAAGTGTGGACCACTGTAATACAGGCCACATGTGCTTTAACGAGTATGCAAGTTTTTGTCTACAAGATAATGTCTTCATAGTTCGACATTTAGTCTAGTGTTCGACATGTTTGCAGCCTGTCGCCACTCAGTTCGAATATGCCATTGAGTAGGTTGCTCATAGAACCGAACAGGTGAGTTCCAGATTACAGTTCAGAAGACGAATATGCGATCACTGGAACAAGAAATTTATTGGCTGACGTTCCGGATTCTCACTCGGACCCAGCATCAGGGACGGTCGCAGATAAGAGTAGTGATAGCACAAGGAGTGCAGTATTTATAGTACGTGGCTGCCGTAGGACCATACGCGTACTGTAATTAACAGCCCTGGCCATCACTGCTGGGGTCGTAGCTAATGCGATGGTGGCTTATCAGTCCGTGTCCGAGTCATTAATTGCTATGATTTCGTCATCCGTTTTGGATGTTGGTGTGACGATTGCTCGGTAAATTGGCTCACTGTCACTGAGATAACTGCCCACCCTCGCCTTCCCCACGTGACTGATTCCCCTGCCCAGGGAAAATCCCAGCACGGAATATGGTACCGGGAGGTCATTGTGCTTGTTGATGGATTGCGAGCCCGAGAACCATGACTCGAGCAGCTCGCGGCTCACGCGGTTGTCAACCCTTGCGAGGATTTTGGCCTCTTGAAATTTGAAAATATGGCCGGGTCCCGTCGAGTGTGCCGCCACATGAGAGCTAACGTCTCCCCGTCTCGATGCGTGCTGGGTAATTCGCGTCGGGAGTAATCTTCTAGTTTCTCCGACGTAGTTGCTTTTTC